GGGGGGTGTTGGAGGATTATACATGTAATAATTATAATAAAGCTTTTTGTGATTGATTTCGTGACTCTCATACTAAGTTTTGGGAGACTTACATTTTTGAAGCTCCAGGACTGAATTTCTGGCGTTTTCTAAAGCAAATTCGCAAACAAATTTCATGTAAATTGATTGTATTTTACAAAAATGGTTATCATTTCACAAAAATAATTACTTTATTATGCAAATTTTACCTGAAAATGTCAAAATTTTACTTGAAAATGTCAAAATTTTAACTTGAACTTTACATGATTTTTGCCAGAATTTCACAGTAGGGGGGAGGTTCCAAACCATCTATTCTACAAACTATGGTGGGAGTAAAACTCCAGGCCCCTGCTGGACCAAAACTTTGAAAAGTTTGGAGCCCTCCCCCTTCAGTATATCGAGAACTTTCAGAGCCCTCCCTTTAATGCCTGAGATTATTTCGGTGCCCCCCCCCTTAACATCTTCATCCCCCCCGGCATAATAAATGTACTTTCCCTAAAGCCTGATTTCTACTAATCCTCGCATGAAGCAACTCGCTAGTGGCTCTTGCAACTCATTAAAAAGGGCTTACAATTAAAATTCCGTACATTGAGACTCCGAATCTACGAAATCTGAGGAATTCAGAACCGCACATCGCATTAGTTCGCTTTCATGTGTTGACACGGTAATTTGTACGGTCAGAAGGGCTTGAACTTGAAACGTGAGCATTGAACGTAGTCTCAGACCATACTCAAGTTTTCATGATTTCTCAAGGGTGTACATGTTCTCATAGGACGTATCAAACCAGACGAACTAGAGTTCGTCTGGTTTGATACGTCCTATGAGAACACCCACGAGAAATCATGAAAACTTGAGTATGGTCTGAGACTACGTTCAATGCTCAAGTTTGAACTGTCTTGCTGTGCGTTAACACGCGACCCATGAAAGCGGACAATTCGAGCTCAGATAACCGCACGAATTTCCGTGTGAACAAATGAAACGCGACTAATTTGCACCCAATTGCGAATTCGTCTGCTCTCGTCGGAATATAATGTAGAATTATCAACAAACTTACCAGAAATTTTCACAGCAACACTGTTTCACTGTAGATAAGGTCGTTCTTTCTGTAAAACAATGCCTTTATTGTCTGAATATATTACAAAACATCTCGTGATGAAGCTGTGATCTCAAGTGGATTTCTATAAACTTCCTGTCCAGGGCTCTCATTTTTAAGGAAATTTCCTTAAACTGAGGAAATTTTGACCTTTTTAAGAGACTTTTAAGGAAATAGAATTTTTAAGGAATTTTTAAGGAATTTTGAGTTGAAAAACACTCCAAACAATAATTAGTTATTACACTGTTTGTTATACTTACAAGTTATATCCATCGACCTAATGAAAGTTTTGGGCAGTAGTTTTTACTGAAATCGCTGATCATCTTCAATTTTATTGTTCATATTTAGTTCTTTAATTAACGCCCGTGGAGGTTCAATCTGAGCTTATCTCGAGTGTCATTGCTGTTTTTGAATAGCTGGAGGGTTAGTGTCGTACCTTGTGACCACTCACCCTCCAGCTATTCAAAAACAGCATTGACATTCAAGAAAAGCTCAGATTGAACCTCCACTCAGTGAGTGTGAGGGAGCTTTTAGAATACGGGCGTAAGTTTCTGAGTGACTTTGACTCGCAGTGTTTTTGAAGCGCAGTTTTCGAACACGAAACTTTTTTGCAGCAAACTTTGCATGATGGTTCGTCGTTCGCGTTTTTTGATGCAACAAGCCAATGTTTAAAAGTAGCATATTTTGTCCATTCCGCTCGAAATTTTTGTTTATACTTTTTTTTTAAAATTTTAGTCTTTTTTGGAGCGCTTCCCTCGAATTCAAAATCAGAAAATTCAGAATCCGCCATTTTCCGATGTAAAAAAGTTATATTTACATATTTTCGCGCCAATTGCGTCTATGATCGCGCGCCACTGGAGTGTTCTTCAGAGACTAGGCCAAGTCTAAGGAAATTTTTGTCCATTTAAGGAATTTTTACCGCTGAGTCTAAGGAAAATTTTGAATTCCGTTCTGAGAGCCCTGTTCCTGTCTTAGGAATTACGCAATTTTCAAAAATATGTTGATATACTTCATAGAAATAATAATTCTACACATCAGTTATTATTATTATGAATATAGAAGTTACATTTTAATAATTTTAATGCGTATATATAGCTTGAAAAGTTCAAAATATGGCATTTCTTGACTTCCTGTACTCAGATGTATTACGTCATTTCGTGGAAGCGATATTCCATGTAATATTTATCATTTATAGACCTGGAGCGAGGGGGATTCGGCGAAATATTACCCGAAGTGATGATATTTCCCGAGGGGCTTTGCCCCGAGGGAAATATCAACACTGAGGGTAATTTTTCGCCGAATCCCCCGAGCGGAGGGTCTATAAATTATATATTATACCGAAAATTATAAGCCTCCAAGTTGGGTTAGCACTTTTTTCCATCCGCCAAACCGCCTTACTGATTTTGTAAAGTCGTTTCTTTTTGGATTTTTTTATTAATTCGGTTAGGGTTAGGGTTAGGGTTAGGGTTAGGGTTAGGGTTAGGGTTAGAGTTTATATGGTTGAGGTTAGGGTTAGGGGTTATAGTAGGGGTATGGTTTGGGCTAGTTACTTAGCCATTTAACACCTCTTTCATCTTCCGAAAATGACGTCAGGTCAGTTTGCTGGATGGAAAATAGTGCTACCTCCAAGTTGAGAATTAAAAATTGACACACACCATCGTGAATACGATGTTTTATTTTCGGATTAACGCAAGTACCGTCGCTTTTCTTTCGAGTCGCATATCGTTTGGAATATTAATGACAACATTTTTCAAAATTTGCTTCAATATTTTGAAAAAGCCCCAGGTTTTACATCATTTACCCAGATTATTCATCACTCATCTATTTATATTTTGTCGGCCATGTTGTTGTCATGTGCGTGGGGGAACATGGTGGAACCATTGAACTATAAATAACTGGAAGGCTA